TTCTTAATCAAAATCAAGGATTCAGTTGAAGCAATTGAACCCAAGAAGTTGATTAACCTTAAGAATGAAGGAATACCTAATTCCTGGAGGATGTCAATGCTTACACATCCATAAAGGAGTCATGATTCATAAACTAGAGATGATTTCTACCATCATAAAGCCCTTGTTCTAAGTAAAGTCAATGATTCAATGCTAAACCAAAGAAATAAACCAACAATTGCTCATTCAAGTACCAAGCTCATGATCAAAGTATTAAACAAGCATAAGAAATATGAAATAGAATCATAAACATAAGATAAATGACAATTAAGCATGAATCCTTCAAAACCCACAAATATCCAAGGGTTTTAGCCAAAGTTAACCAAAATAGAGAAACTAGCCACTCATGGCAACAAAATAACAATCACAAAAGTGTATTTGCATCAAGAAACTACAAATTACTTAGAAAGATGAGAAGAATATGTATCAAGCTCTAAAAATCGCCTCTAATGGTCTCATATGGTGGAAAATCGAAGTGTGCGCTGAAAGACCCAACCCCCCCAAGGTAAATGGTGAGCAAAATGACCAACATGCCCAAAAGTGTGCAGTTGCGCGGGTACCCTCGCAAGTGTTGCACGACCGAGACTCCACCCTCGCAAATATTGTTGGAATGCTATTGGCTCATTTTTCTCCACTACACACCCCACTACCCAAGATTCCCTTGGTCCCCTCCACACCTCACATGATTCAGATTTAACCAATCGTCTTCAAGCTTCAAATATGGACAGTCCAAGCCCAAAATAAGAATCCAAGACCCATCTTCATAAGCCCACTTCATCCAAGTCTTCAACTTTTTAAGCCAAAATCTTCTTTGATGGATCCGTAAAGCCCAATAATGCCTCGAAAGCCCACAAAGCCCATCTCCAAGCTAATCCACAACCGCAACGAGCTCCAAAACCCTGCAAAATACCTCATGCAAAATAGAAAGTACTTGATACGATCCATAATAAAGAAAATAAAGAATATACAATGCAATACTAATAAAAAGAGCTAAAAAAATCTAAAATAAACTATTAAAAGAAGGAAATAAAATAAACTATCATGGAGCCCGATATACACTCGTTGGGCGGGGCCCGTTACGTGTTTATTTATGTATGGTATGTGGTAATTTGGGGAACTCAATAAGCTTTGTGCTTACGGTTTTCAGTTTATGTTTCAAGTACTTCTGGTTTCAAAGGAAAGAGTCTGGGATGATTGCAAAGCACACACCATTCGATTCCGCATTTTGTGATTTACTCTGATAATTTTGATGTATTGATAAAATTTGATTACCATGGTTTTATGACAATGATATGGTTTACTATTTTATTAATTTAAAAATGAAAGATTTCGAGTCTTATTTTTGGGACGTTACAATAAGTCCACTTTGTGGATAACTAATAGGAAGACTAAGGCGATACTTAACAAATCTTCAGATTGGTTTAAACATCTTCTTGTCGCTTTTAATTTAATGTAGTTGTTTTCATGGTTCTAGCTTCTTGCTAGAGCCGATAATTTTTAATGAGATGTTGTCATTTCAATAAAAGAAATCTATAAACCTAGAGTGAAAGAGACCAAATTTAACATCTAACACTATTTTGGTGTAAATAAAAAGTATAACACAAAATTTAGTATTAATTACATCAAATTGGTGAAAATGGAGTGGAATTTGTTGGAATTAAGAGCTCCGATAACAACACAAAACACCACCATATGACAATAAAAAGATGTGAAGAAAATAAAGAACACAATAATTTAATGTGGTTCACTCTATTAGAGAAACCAAGTTACGTCCACGGACGAATTAGAGAGAGGTTTTATTAATAGCCGTCAAAGCACATGCTTTTGCTTATAGTTAGATTCATACAAGGCGATTTATTTATGAAAGACAAGTTGACCTAAAATTTGTTTGTGGGTTGGACCTTTGCTCGAGAACCACAACCTTATATTGCAACCTTACACCGCAACTGCGCGCTTCTCAAAATACCGTAGCAGCACTATCGAGATACAGCAGCTGTTATGTCGAGATAGCGCAACTATTTTGCTGAGATACCGCAACTGTTGTGTTGAGATACCACAATTGCTTTGTGGATATACTTCATCTGTTGATTTTGATGCCTACATTGATATACTAAGCGAGACAAGACACCATGCTTAGTCTCCGTAGTGGCAATGAGGTCAAATAAAAAATCAGGTTCCATAGGTCAACAAAATTGAGAAGGAATGACGTTAAAAATAAAGTAAAAAATGGGATTTGTTTTCAAGATGCCCTAATAGTATTTGATGGTCGATAAAGACTTTCCTTATGGTACTCATACCTTTTTGTGCATTGCAAGACCCATCAAGATGTTCTACTAGAAGATTGGTTAATACCACAATTGCTTTGTTGTTGTGTTGAGATAGCACAACTGTTTTGCTGAGATACCGCAACTGTTGTGTTGAGATACCACAAATACTTTGTAGATATACCGCATCTGTTGATTTTGATGCCTACATTAATATACTAAGCGAGACAAGACATTATGCTAGTCTCCGTAGTGGCAATGAGGTAAAGAAAAAATCAGGTTCCATAGGTCAACATAATTGAGAAGGAATGACGTTAAAAATAGAGTAAAAAACGAGATTTGTTATCAAGATGCCCTAATAGTGCTTGATAGTCGATAAAGACTTTCCTTATGGTACTCATACCTTTTTGTACATTGCAAGACCCATCAAGATGTTCTACTAGAAGATTGGTTCTTTCCTTATTTCAAACTCTTCTGTTAATTAAAGAACCATTTAATGATGAGTTTAGTATTAGTTTAGTATTAATCTATTCAGATTATATAGAGTACACCACGTGCCGAGCTTAATAAAAGTCAATTTACTTAAATAGTGTATACCCTCATCAGGTTTTCTTTTGCTTGATTTCTTTGAGTGCTTTAATTGCTTCAAAGCCATGGCAAGTGCTGAAGAATTTTGTGAAAATTACTTGGTGCTTGATGCCAATGAAGCAAGTCTCTATGATATTGCTTGTATTTTGATATGTTCAACTACTTTCTTGAACACAAAAAAGTTTTACAAACAACGATCCCAAGATGTTGAAAAGTCAACCCATAGCTTCCGTCAACGATGGGTCATCTTCGCCTCCATGCTCTTGCAGAAGCTTCTTATATGGGCAAAGAAGCCGATGGCTCTGATAGGGTCTTTGATCGAGCTATGGTTGAATCTTTTGTCAAGCAATGGTGGTTTTTTCGGACTTTTGATCAATCTTATAACAGGTTATCGTTACATGTTTCGTGTTTTTATATATGACATGAAATATTGTAGATTTCGTGATCTACATGTAATGACAGCAGATTAATTAGCCGAGCTTGTGGTTCTGTTGATGGGCATGTTGGCATCGGATAGTAGGAAATATTATTGTGGTCGTTTTGACAGCTTGTCTTTTGGTTTGAATTACAGGCAAGGTGGTGAACCCGGTAGAATCACCGGAAAAGTACAACTCTATCATTGGAGTGCTCGACAAGCGGGTGAAACTGGATGAAAGTATTAAAAAAGGCGATGGAAGATACAAACCGTCGCTCGCCATGATGGCCTCAAAATTAGCTTACGAAAATGAGGCTTTCGTGCAAGCTGCAGTACAACAACACTTGAAGGTCACATCTCTCTCTCTCTCTCTCTCTCTCTCTCTCTCTCTCTCTCTCTCTCTCTCTCTCTCTCTCTCTCT